TAAGGAAAAACGTTTACGATAGATGAGACCGTTTGAAGGAAACGGATTCAATAAACTCGTCCGACCCATGGGGGACAAAAACAAAGTATATTTTTAGAACTATCAAGTGGTGAACTGAGATATACAAGTTGCACAATGCGCAGTTGTGCATTCGAGAAATGTGTGTGTGAGAGAGCGTAGGTGGATATCGCGTATGTATGAGGGGGGAGGACAAGATGTCGATGAACGAAGTGGACATTCATCGTACCCATTGTGATCACGGATGCGATGCAATTAGCAAAAAATGTTGATTGGAACTGGGGTGAAACGGTGTGAATATCGGTTATTAGAATGGTGTACGTTGAATCAGGTCTGGACGACAGTGATGCATTGAGAAAAAACAGTCACCGCATTTGGTGAGAACAATAATAGATCGAACGCCCGATCGCCTGCCACACCATCCCATCAAAACCCGAATGTGTAAAACAGAGAAGAACAATTTGATATGCACATAATCGAGTCAGATGTGAGATCGAGGTGATGCACACAATGAATCCGGTTTGCGAGGCTGTATTCTATGTGGTTCCATTATGACTATGTCTAAAGCTTTGCGCGAATCCAGTCGCTCACTTCAATTTTTTGGAACGCATGTTCAACTGTGCCGTAATCCCATTTTTGTTCTCATTTCACCATCACATGATTTTGCATAAGTGCCTTCATTTAAGAGTGAAGTGAACACGGAGAGAGAGAATGGGACTTGATATAAACTGTCAGAAAGCATAGAAATTCCTCCATGACGGCCCCGAGTTATAGCCATTATACCCGTTCGACTGATATTTGCATTAAAAACAAAGTTTGCACGCAGTCAACTGGGAGCAGAGAACCGATGGGAAATGATGACTCTAAATCCGACAAGCACGTGAATGGAAACCGGAAAAGCTATCGGAAATTTCCCTCTGGTTTCGGAAACATGCCCGGAAAGATGTACTCAGACTGGGGCGGCAGGAATAGCGAACACGAACACGGAGGAGTATAACGACGAAACGAAGGAAGAAATCACGAGAAACTATAGACAACTCATGATGGATTTAGTCTTTTTGTACAGTACACATTTTTGTGAGAGCAACAGCAGAGGGGGTGAATCCCTAAGCTCCGAGACTTGGAATGGGGAAGCACAGAAGGCCCCTTCCTAGGTCAGACGTAGTATTGATCCCAACAACAACAAAGCTGCCTACAACCAAAGTTTAATGGCGGTGGCGGGCCACAAATATCGGAACATGGGGTCCAAAGAAAGCCAGTGACAGCGGCTGAACTACTAAGCCACATTGTCCCGGTACCATCAAAGTAACCCTATTTAACAATCGATATTTTATTTGCGGCACAAATCCGTGCGGGTTCGACCTGCTAACTGATCACACCTGCGTTTTTGGACGCGTTTCAAGCACATCCCATATGGGTGTGGCACAAGGATCAACCGCATGGACATGCGCTGGTACAATGTTGTGAAACTAAACAACTACTCAGTTCAGCAGATGTGGGATGACAGGTTAAGTAAGACCTCCGTCTCGAAACGATACGGTTAGGGTATTACTGAACCAACAGCAGACGGAAAATCTATAATCAATTAATCGCTGGTTGTGTCACTACTCCGACATTCAACGATATATCGGTTATGAGTAAGAATGGAAACTAGTAGATCAAAGCCGACAAAAACCCCAGGAAACAACGGGACAATAAAGGAAGGGGTATGTAAATGATTGAATATCACAGACTGCATACCAGATGTTTAATTTGAATTACCAGAACTTTAACTTGATCCAGTATTTCTCTCTTTCATTTATCGTAACCGTGGTCAGGTAAGGCTTCGAAAATAACCGTACAGCATTAATTTTGGTGGTTAAGCGGTTGAAGGTGTTCACTGGGACCTAAGGTTCGAGGTTCGAAGCACGCCACGGTCAGCTAACTTTGATGATATGTAGCTTCGCCGTGGCCAGCTGTATACTACGCCTATGCTAGTGGAGCCTTAAATGGTTTAGCACTCGAAGTCCCAAAGCTTAGATTGCGGGTTGGTATGAGAGAATAGTGAGTTCTTGTGAATGTGTGCCTGTCCCACCTGATGTTCATCACCCGACAGTGTGTACTAAAAACGCTAAATGGATGAACTTGGGAGCATAAAGGAGAATGATTGATATCTCAGATAGAAGCGACTAATTTGATAGGTTCGTCTGAAAGCCCAGTGCCGTAAACGTGACATTCTACTAATGAACCGCTACCAATCCCGCTTCGGGATTGGTATAAAACCACTCCATCTGGATGATGGAAACCGTTATGTGATATCACGTACTAGCGTATGGTGATTTGAACAATTCAATAGACAAATCTCACTGTCACAAAGGACCTACTGTTCGATCATTGGAGCCAAAAGTATGGGCAACTGCGAGACACAGATGGATCTACAATTGCAACAGTATATGGTGAAAGCGTGTTGTTAACAGGGGAAACAGTTCGTCCGAGTACAATTGAAGTGCGCGGATTTCGAACTCTGAACCATAAAGTTTGTGGTACACCTATGGCGGTAACATGGACAACTCGACCCCATCACCACCGCTATGTTGGAGGTTCGAAAACACCTTGTGACTTAAAGTAGAGTGTACAAAGTGGCCTTCGATTTTAATCAACGCATTTATTAGAGTAAAGTGCTAGCACATTTAAACTTTACATAACTGTCACACCCACACGAAAAATTAATCAGTCCACTTAAGTTAAGCAGTATATTTGCACATGATAGACCTAGTATCTTAGGCCCACAAATGAGTGAATGATATTTCCACTCACGTCTAACCGAGGTGAAGGGAGACACATATTATGACTATCAAAGTAAAATGTCCAGTTAAGATGTACTATACTCCTGTGGGGTTATATATATATAATGGACGGTACCACTGGATCCACCAGTGATCAGCTCATCACAACGAGACTGCACCCTGACGTGGTGTGGTGGCTTGCAGGCCTCCATGATCCTGCCAGTTACACAGGATGGCTTTCCACAACCGCAGATCCAAACATGCTTAAAAGGTCAATGTAAAAAACCAGAGAAAGCATACTCGCAAAAAGCCAGATGCTTGGGCAACTCATGGTTTCCTTGGATAATCCACTCTCGCCCCTGGAGATGTCACTTCAGCAAATAAACACGGTGAGGAGCAGTTTACCAATAAAAACCCCGTTAGACGGACGTAGGAGTGGGGTACTTGGGGATGTCTCCCGACGGTGGGAGAAGTCTTTGCACTTCACTGAACAGCTACCGTCCGCCCAAGCTGGGCAGCCCCAGCCAATAGGGTTCTATCCCGACCACGTTCCACTTGTCTCATAAAGTGTATGAGACTAAGGGCTAATCCCGAAAAGTGGACTGACAATCAAAGCACCAGCGAACAATACACTGAAACGAAACCCGAAGGCGTTGTGTGACACGTCTCCAGGAATTCTCACACGGGTCCTTCGTTTACGCTCCCACGTTGTATTTACGTTCCACTGTCTTGTGGGTCAGAATTTTGTATCACAGATTCTGGTTAGGGTTCCCAAAGAAAAACTCCGTCAGTGTGGGCAGTCGCGAAGTATGTCATGTACTAAATTCTTGAGCACACATTGGGAGAAATCTCTTTTCACTCTGTCTAGTTCTTCCCCTCAATCCCGAATAGAACAGGATGCCTCCTGTTTAGGCCATCCATCATTTGACCAGTAAGATCAAACACTCAGGTGTTATAGGAATTTTGAAACCGAAATTCGCGTTTCTCTTAGCCACGTTCAATGTCCGTACATTCTTTTAGATTGATCTACAAGCTGCATTGGATAGAACCCTTAAAACTTTCAATTTAGATGTATGCTTTGTCTCCGAAACACGCATACAAGAGCCTACTTCAATCATCTCCCTGCATTCTCCTGGCCTAAGCTCATCCCCGCGCTTCACCCTTCGTGTGTCGGGCGATTCAGTATCCGAGGCTCGCGGTGTTGCTGACGTTGAGATTGCGCTGAGTGTCATGGCCAAGCGTTCACTTCTCGACTGGATCCAGGTTAGTGGCCGACTTTGCGCTGTACGACGGGCTGGTTCAGTACGGGTCAACAGCTGCAGAACCGATCCTTATTTTTTGTATCAGTGTATGCACCTGAAATTAACGATGAGTTCTACAAGTATTCCAGTGTTCGGTCAATGGACGTAGTTGTAGTCGTGGGAGACCTCAATGTCCAAGTGGGATAACTGGACGAATCAGAAGGGTTTCTTGGCGGTAAACATGCAATACCAGCTAACCGGACGGACAACGGAAATCACCTACTTCAACTTTGCGCGAACCACGGATTGTTCCTGTCAAGCACCAACTTTTCGCACAAAAAATGAAACTACCTTAGTTGGAAATCACTAACCGCTTTACAGACCCAAATCGACCACATCGCCATCAGTTACCGCTGGAGGATGTCAATTTGACTGCCGCTTACTGATTAAGACCTGTGTATCCGAACAAAGCTGTGTTACGAGGTAAATTCTCCTTATGCCTGGCAAACAAGGGAAATAAAGCCACCAGTAATGGATAACCACGATGCAATGAAACCGATAGTTGCAAATCCGTCTTAGAAGCAGAGTTCTCCGACTGCCCCTCCGTTCAACCACTAGTCGGAAGACTCAATGAAAATCAAAAAAAGCTTTGCAATAACACCATGGGACTCTGAAGAAAGGTAAAAAACCAACGATGAATCTCGTCTACATCGGTGACCTGCTGGACATCTGCAAAAACCTTGATGCCACATCACATAGCGTGCAAATCCCTTAAACGCCAACTCATTAGGAGCCTAAGGAATGACCGAGAGAAGTGGTGGACACAACAGATTAGAGAGATGAAGAAAGCTGCCGCTATTGGTATTAGTCTAATCAGGAATAAGGATCCAGGGAGACAGAAGTGAGGTAATTAGGGAGTTCGACGGCACACTGATTCATCAGCAACGCCGTCTTGATCGATGGGCTGAAAATTTCCAGGTTCAGTTCACCTGTCCCTCACCGACATTAGACCAATCATCCCCTCCAATTCGACTGGGCAAATACTCAGTTGATATCAGTCCTTCATTTGAAATGGAGATTCCCCGGGAGATTCATTATCCTAAAAAACACATGGCCTTCAGCACGGATTGCCCGTTCTCATCGGCTTTTAGGGAAGGAGGTTCAGTGTGAGTCTTGGAGTTGACGGAACTCTCAGACTCAATATGGGAAAGAACAGGTTCCAAATGAATGGCGTGAATCGGTCATCTGACTGATTTATGAGGAAGGCGATAGATTCTTCAGTGAAAACCACAGGGGAATTAGTTTAATCAACATTGCCGCTGAGGTTCTCGCTGGGATCTCACTTTGTCCATTTCCTGCCGCACGTGAACGGTGTACGCGTGAGAACCACGCTGGTTTTAGATCTGGTCCAGGTTGTATAGACATCTACACTCTTCGCCGAATTCCGGAGTCAGTCGACCGCCTTAAACTTTGACGCTGCCTTTTGCTGAAGAGCGTGCCGGAGAAAATTATTTCAATATTACGATCCCTTTATACTAAGAGCCGAATCTAAGCCCGAGCTTATGACACTTTTTCGTCCGAGTTCATCATAGAAGGCGGTGTTCATCACGGTTACCCTCTCTCTCCGTTTCTGTTTAACTATGTTATAGATTTGATCATGGAAACAGCCCTAATTTCGTGGGAGGATAGCGGCATCCAGTTGGTTCCAGGTGGTAGACTGTCTTAACTGGGGTATGCAGACGACAGTGTACTACCCAGTGAAGATCCTGTTAGGCTGCAAGCTTTTCTGGATATTTCGGGTGCTAGTGTAGCCATTTTCAGTATGCTTTTTGCATCTTCAAGGTGTAAAATGTTGCTACAAGACTAGGTTGGTCCAGCACTCAGTCTCACTCGAACAGGGGAAGTAATAGAGCAAGTGGACTCGATCATATAGATCGCGTTAGGCTCCTTGGATGGGGACCTCGGGAGCATTATATTCAATGGTTAGAGACATTGAGTGATATGGCTGAGTTTCGTTAACAGTGGCGTTCGTTAATGGTCTCAATTTCTTTGCAAACTTATTATAATGAAATTCACACAGGTATTCGGTGAGCACCACCAAATGAAGTGAACATTGTGCATGAGCACAATGGACCTATCAATTTATAGTGCACAATGTCCACTGAATCGACACCAGTAGAAAATTATACAATCTGACGACTGTATCGGAGCGTATTTCACTCACTCTCTCTCTCTCTCTCTTTGGGTGTGTGTGTTGAATGGGCAGGTGCATCGAGTAAAACCAAATAAAACGATTTGCACGGAACGCGGCACGGGTGTCACGTGCCAATGACCTCAAACAACAAAAGATGACTTACTGTGTCCTCGTGAATATGCAACGAGAAGCTGACCTCACTCAGTCGGGCATCCAGTGCCACATTCGGATGGGATTGGGTCTCGGCAAATTCGTCCTCCGCGAACCCAAACTGATCGGTGAATGCGGTCGTGAGAGGTTGTGAACAGTAGTTCGAATATGCCTTTACGAGTCAAGGGAATTGGCATGCAGAGTATTGGAGGTGGCGACGGCGTCGGGAGGATTGATATACAGAAAGAAAAAAACGGGCACCAGAGAATTGAATGTGCAAAAGTAAGTCGCCACTGTTGCATGTCATCTAAAAGTGCATGAATTGTGACACTTTACGCATGATTTGAACCAACGCCATTGTGCAAAGTTACAGTTCGAACACAAGAGAGATGTTTTTTCCAGTCTGTGAGGAAGCAAATGAAATAACCTAAAATTAAGGGAGCTGCCCGCAGCTAGTGGTGTGAGGAAATGTAACATACCAAAGCGAGGAACAATTTCACAAAAGTATCGCTAGCTCATCGTGTACATCTCATCCGTGGAAGTTGTGCGCAATGATATACTGCAGAGTGGCATGCGATGCCAGAAACAGACAAGTTCAATTCCTGATTGAATCATGATTACGTCCAGCAGTTCAGTCGACGTGTTACGAAGATTCGAACTCTTCTAGTCTTAACAACTGAACACCCAAGTAGTGCGAAGTTGTGCATTAGTCAAGTGATTGATCTACATCACCATCATCAGCTATATCTCTGGGATCATTTCAAGACATCAATACGCCTTTTAACCAAAAGGTTCTGCTGATTAGCCTTAGACTGCCGGTTATTATTGTTTAGAACCAGACCACATTAAGTTGGATAGGCAGTAAGGTATCGTAGTCACTGTTTGCTCGTTTGCATCAAACAAATGAGGATAGCGACACATGTCAAATTTGTAACCGATGAACCTCAAACGAAATAACTCGGACAGTCATGAGAACGACACCCATCTATTGGCTATTTCCAATAGGCGTCAACCATGCGCAACGTGCATTATTTCGTGGCTTGATTCTTCGCAAACAAAATTTGCTCTGCATCTAACTCACGATTATTTGCCAAAAGTGATGTGGGATAAACAATACTGATTAGTCATTTTTACACAGAATGGTCAATTCACTCGTACACTGCAGAAGAAATCAATAGCGAGTTTAGCTCTGGTTAGAGTGCAGCAGTGGAACATTTTCTTAGATTCGTCAGGGATTCGAGATTCGGATCCGGCGCACAGAGAGAGGGTATGCGTGATAACACTTTGCCGGTTAGCTTACACCGAACTATCGAGACCGGCCAATTCAAGTTTGCTCAGATGTTGTTTCATGTACAGATGAGCTCTGACAAAACCGAAAAACGGGATCCTCAAGTGAATGATTCACTGGATGAGCAGAGAACTATGCAACATGTAGCGTGATGGGTCGTTAGTCCAGTTCTTTGAACTAAGCTGCAACATCACTGAACGCAAGAGGGGAGATAAACTAATCAGGTACTTAGGTGCAAAAGAAGGTAAAGAAGGAAGCATCTTGGAGTTAGGCGCATCGGAAGATGTTAAAGATCATATTGGAAACCATGGCATACTCAGCAGCATTAATCGAACATTATCACAGGAGGACAGAGCAAGACCATCGTGATAGCCAGACTGACAAATTATCCGACGAGAAACGTCTATCCTGAAAAATTCAATTCAATTGAAAAACAAAATTTCAGTCGTTTCTTTACNTTTACGCTATGCTCTTCGCCACCGTGTTCATCGAAACAAGTTGGCACAAATATCCGTTTCGTTCAAGTGACCAGCAGAACGCAATGAGCATGTTATCCGGTGACCCACGAAATTTCATCTAGAAATCATGAGTAAACGAGCGGATATTACTTTTCAATCTGGCGAGACCAAAAAAGAAGCAAACGAAAACAACTCACATTTTGCAATGCCTGAGAAATGGCTAGGTCTGTCAGTTTGTATTCGGTGACATTCTGTTCACTGGAAGCAACTGANTTGGGGAATTCTGACTGTAGCAGACCAAATAAAAGATGCAGGGTAACAGAGAGACAGTGAAGGATCGTAAGTGTGTGGACAGTGAGTCAACATAATCACAATGACACTGAAAACACATCCATTTCAACCATCCAGCAAAATCCATTTTTTCCAAATCAGGCTCGTACCTAACCAACTTTGGTTGAATGTATTAGGTAGAATTTTTTTCTTGTCCTTCACGTAAACCCCTTAGCTACCTATGATCCGGTTCGATCTCTCCACAAAATTCCGGATAGGTTTTCTCGATCCTTGCCTCTCCACATTCCTCAGTTCACCATAAACAAGTATTTACCCCCTTTTCGATTCAGATAGTGTGCAATTCCCATGCACTCATAAGTGACAGATCACTACTTGCACTAACTACTCGAGTTTCGTCCACAGATCACTAGTATTATGAAGTTCACTTGATGACATATGACAAAGAATTGCGCAAAACACGGAATACGCTGGTTTTATGCACTGTTTGAACCACCGCACACATTTTTTGTCATGCAGCAGCGGGGAGCACTAAATGCATTTCCCATCGCTCAGACAAATTATCCACGATACTGGGTCAAAGTGTAAGTCCAAGAAAGAGCCAGATATGGAGATGGGGAAAGAAATAGATATATCACACAATATAATACTATGCAGTGGTGTTTGCTAAACGGTCCAGGAACGTTCAATACATTTCGTGCACTATACCTCATGGTTTACACGCAGATTCATCCTACAGACAGCAGGTGTGTGTGCGTATGTACGTGCAACCATAATGAAAGTTTACTGGTAGAAAAGTGCAGTTGCGCTTGAGGCTTGATATCTAATCCGTTCAGTGGATTTCAGTATGGCAGATAAGCGATCAAGAATTCGGATCAGAAATTTAGTGATTGTGTCCGTATGTTGATTCACACATGCTGCTTCAGATTGTCTGAACCGCCTTCAGCAGTTCACTTCGGTAACTACTTCCACGTTCGATAGCTGCGTAAACCTGACGGTAGTCTGCAGAGTGTGCTCAAGCGGGACATACGCGCTCTGAGTATCTACGGGGGGACAATTCGATCCGGAAACGGCACATTTGTATCTGATCTGGACAGAAGTTATTGTGGTCACATAAAGGGGTCATATACCTCACTGTTGTAAGAAAATGGAAGTTAAACGCATTTAAAATCGCAGATCCGTACTGCGCATGGAGACAAGAATAAGACGTACATAATTCACATAGGATTTCTCGTTTGCTCGCAACAGTGGGCCACGCACAAAGTCACACCATGTAGTCCAAGTCTCGTCCGACAAATCTTCCCGGGAGAGAGGGGCGGAGGTGCAAAGAGACAGTAAACTGAACAAGTGCAAGATGGAAGATGCAAAACGCGTTTTAACACATGCTGAAGTGAATAAAGTTCATCCTTTTAACGGAGATGGATGACAGTGGTTTAAAATCGAGAGAACTAATATCAGATTTTGATTGTCATCAAAAGACTGAAAGTCAGAAGAACCAACCAAAAACTTAAAACAATTGGCGAAAATGATACAGTTGAAAATACGGCATTATTGCGAAGCGCTCCGGTGAACAAACGAAGGTTTATCGATCGTAAACAAGAGCACATCATGTGAGATCAATCATAGGAACATGAGGCAAAAGAACGACAATCAATAGGCCGTCAAAGAAATCAATATACATGAGTGAGTATTTGTAAATATTGATAAAAATAGAATAGATGGTCTGATATTAAGCGTCTCTGAGTTCTTCTTTTATGGTTGATGATTCGTATTCAACTCAACAAAAAAGATTTTGTACAGTGAGCGTTTCATAATATATTTGTTCAACACATCATATAATTAGGTGTGTTCTTTTGGCCTGGAGTGTTCAGGAGCGAAATCAGCCTGATACATCGACACCAGCCGAGAAGAGTGAGACATCAGTTCAAGAATATCAGGGGACCATAGTTTTGAGATACTGTCTATCGCCTTATCATTCCAATTCTTTAACAGGTGGACGATATGAGGCAACAAGTTAACCGCCTGGTTTTATCAAGACGAGAAAAGAGGGAGTAGTTCAAAACCCCGTAACACTGTGCATGATATAGTCCAGAAGGAAAGAAGCAAATTTCCAAATTTTGAATTCCAGTGCCAACTAATTGAATACCGCTGTAGTTCAGTTAATGATGTCTAATTCAACTTATTGGTAAACATGGGCATCGTATAAGCATATTTACTCTTAATCCCCACGAGGATTTTGTGAAAGCTAGGCCCCATTTGTTTCGGTTGTTGAATTTACATCTTATCATAGAAAACGCAGAATTTGATGGACACAAACGGTTATCCTCAAAGCCTATAATGGTGGGATCAGTTATATCGATGGACTGTACCATTCACGTTGCATGGCTTGCAAAAATGCGATCGGGAGGTATGAACAAAAGAACACTGAAATCTTGTATATATTTAGTGCAAACCCTAAAAACGATTTATTGTTGTTCCCTTTGAAGAGAAGCCGCTCAAAGAGGCCTAATTTTAGTGCATAACACGGCCGTACTACTTTTCTGAAACTCTTCTCCATTGACAAAGGATGAAGGAATCGCAAAGCAATCGGGTGTAATTCTGCCTCCCTGTGTTTGTCTGACGATTCTTATTCTGGACGCTACATGTTCCTGTCCACAAGGAGAAGTCCATTGGACTCAAGTTCGGTGACCTTGGAGACCACGAAATGGATCCTAGTCTTCCGATCCATCGGAGCTATTTTGTCAAGCCGATTTCTCTCGGTCCCAGTGCAGTATGGTACGATGAGTGTGTCACGGTTTCGCCTAGCGAGTGGTGCATCGCGGTGCATGAACAACAGTACTCGAAACACAAACATGATAAAGTGAAACAATCAAACAACTCCTGGTTATGGTAGGTATTTGGGAACTGGTTTGTTTTACCAGTAGGTTGGGAGATGATGCTCTTGGAACGGAAGTCAGGCGTGGCATGAATGAGGCCAAAAATGCACGCAATTATAACAGGTGAGGGAGAGAAATGATAACACAAAGGGCAGACGGCATCCGAGAAGAAAACACATAGTGGACAGAACATCAAGAAGATGAACCATAGGTGAAGACGATGAGGAAATAGCTTCAAACAACCTCAAAACGTTCATTTAAATAGAATTTATTGCACATTGAATGGACCCCAGCGTGTTTTCAAGAGAAACTCAGAGACCAGTTCCTAGGTGGAAACTGACCAAATCAATTCCAACTTATATGGCAAAATACTGGGTAAAAAGAATGAGGCAATGCTACCTTAGAGCGTTCTGCAGACAACCTGAAATACGACTATCACAGCATAACCAGAAACACGCGAACCCCGAAGGGGTGAGGATTCACAAGGATTCATTGTGAGGTATAGCATCCTCAGATCTGCGATTTTTAGGGTGGCGAATCCAATAAAACCCAAACTGGATCAGTTTTGCCTTTGGTCAGTGTGGGTTTCCTGTGCAGTGACTGGTGATCCTCACCCTACACATCGGAAAATGCGATTAGGCTTCTTAAATAGCCTTGAATAACCTCAGTGAGATCCGTTCCATCCATGGATTTCGTGTGATTAGTTGCACCTTATTCGAATTCGGGAGCCTATCCGTTTTCTGCTAACGAGACCGATTTATTTGTTATAACAACTGTTGTATTGTAATCTGGTTCAGGTACGATTTAAGCCTAGACGAGTGCGAAATGTAATAATGCATTCATGAGCAGTCGTAGAAACAGAGTCACATTTTTATTTTTATTTTGCTTATGTATGTAACATTCAACAGCAAACGGGAGATAGATTGGGAAGATGAGAGGGAAGGAAGACGGCCAACTGGAACCACTGCCACGGAGAAGCATACACTCCGGGTCGGTTTCTTCTGTGCACAGTAGGGTGGATGAACTATGGTGAGTAGAATTTCACTGACAGCCAACAGATTGGGAACTGGATTACGCAACACTGATGCAAACTATTGAGGTCAGGTCTCTGGGAACGGAAATCGATTCGGGAATACACATTTGCACTGTATTGCACCACATACAGATGTTATGTTTGACATCTGAACAGGGCAACAATGTGAGGAGACTATTCATACCGTTTCCTTTTCAAACCGATAATGCGCAGTCGAAAGGCTGTTTTGATCTGCCTCACTCGGAATGATCATCAACACATTAAAGCTAAATATGGCATGGCAAAAAACGACGCACTCGGCGAGACCAGTGTACCTCGATTAGCGATGGTATGTCAGGACAAGGGGAACAACAAACATGTGCCTTGGTGAGAAAGGGATGCGAACACACTCATGTACGTCCGTCCGACCGTCACAGGGTAAAAGACTGGTGGTCACGTAACTAGATACAAGCACATTCGCGACAAGAATACTCCTTACGCAAATAAAAAAACGAATGAATGAAGGAAGGAAACGAGCGCGTTGCGACGCAATAAAAATGGAACGGATACACGTAGGAGGGGCGGTATGGGAATTGGGTATCAATTCCAAGCTACAGATCCACGGAAAATGGGGATATTCACACGACACTGACATATGCCCCAGTTATATTGACTGGAGTTCTCCAAATATCAAATCTTCGTTCGAGCTCATCTCGTCTGGTGAAATGCATAAACACGTGTTCTCTCAAGGTCTCAACCGCACCTGGTTCAGACAACTTAAGTCCTACACTTCTTAAGCACGCTGATGAGCCAGCATCTCACATTTTTGCATACAGCTAATCTCTTACTCGATCTCCGAACTATTACGAAGCGCTAGCGCCTATTGAGATTTATACCCATCCCCAAAGGAACGACAAAGGTCTCAGTTGTGAAACGTTTCATTTCTAGTAGTTTGAAATTTATGGATCAATCAGTTATTTCACCACCCCCGATGATATTTATCAGTTTGCATACGAACATAATCGTTCAACACTCGAAGCCGTTTTTTTTTATAGTTCCTTCATCTGAAATTTCCTAAGCAATAAAGCCAAATATGAAGACTGAATTTCTTGATTATTTTTCCGCTTTTGACTCGCTGCCCGGTTCTCTTTACTCTACTACTCAGGAAGCTCCAATCGTTTGGTAAACCCACTTCTTGAATGGCTTAGCGATTACATTTCTCAAAGATATAAGTATGTTAAATCGAGAGGACAGTCAACGGGACCACTCAATATTTCGGGTATACTTCAAGGTGTTGCCTTATTATCCTATCTTCCTGCGACTAATATCAGTGACTTACCTATTCATCCAGCGGACGACATTTTAACTATACTAATAATATGGCCATTTCTGCTTCCGTATCCAACTCATCAGAAATGACAGCATACGAGACAAAATTATCCCGCCTCGCTACATATTCAAATTTATCCGGTCTTCATCTTAATCCCCAAAATTCCTTGAATCTATTTTTTTTCCTTTAAACCGTTCCCCATATCCCTTCGACAACGTACGGATTCAAGAAAAGATATCGAGTAGTATCAGCCACGTGACGTTCTTAGGTGTCACACTTTAAAGTATCCTTCGCTGGTCTTTACATGGTTAAAATGTTGTCCACAAGCTGAAAGTTCTCTCCTTTTGGATAAGAAGATTGCGTCACTTTCGTACTGTTTTGTCGGTGACAGGAATTTTTATTCAACAACGTGTCCTCCCTATACTCCTTTACTGGTCTACTGTGATTTTTCCTGGTTTGCTGAGGACTGGTTTCAAATTGCTGAGGCATGGTTTCTCAATGGTCAGCCGCCTTTCCCAAGGTCCGCTATCTCTTCTGATAGGTAAAATCTATGATGATCATATTGAAGCGTGCTTGAAGTTCACTGACAATATTCTATTTGATTCCACCCATCCTATGCACATTGACCTCTGTGCTTGCAAACCCCACTCCTCCACCCGTTCCAACTACAAACTCATCCCATCTCGGATATCTACCACCAGAAACTGCTTGGTACCCTATCTTGCTCGGACACAGACCGACAAGGAGTGTTCGTTCCGAGCTTTCAAATGCATTTAGCAGTTAAACCAACATTATGCATGTAAGATGTCCCACCTTTCCTCCATTTGCCAGTGTTGTGACCCAATTACCATGGTTTTTAATCGATTCACAAAGGGGTATGAAACCAGAAAATGTCCCCAAACAAAATCAAAGAGAATAGAAAATCCTAGACAAAAAACAACTCACTGGACCGAAGGAATGATCTGAGAGAAGGATTGGAATCGCATTCGTTCGTACATCCGTTCGTGGCAACTGTAATCAAGTGATCTGGGGTGATCAAGTGAATCTGGTGATCAGATGAACCCAATGTGTCATCCTCATAAGCCTCGGGACAGGGACCGATTACGGCTGTGAGCAGATTGGCAATAAGCCGCATGTGGCCGCGTGCACTGTAGTCCAAAATAGATGGGAGGCGAGGGCGATCAAAACACGAGAGGGTGAGAGAGAAATAATAGGAGCATTCCGTGGTGTTGAATTTGCATTCCAGATCAAGAGGCTATGAAACCAAACTGGTGAAAAGTGGACGGTTTTAAAATGAGTGATTCAAATAATAAACAAACGACAGAATTCCCCTATACTGTAATAGGCACCCGAGTGAATATGAATTCTATTCAGGGATGTTAGTCCGTCCCGAAAAGGAAAGTTGTGTGAGCAAGGGAGAGGAACTCGATGACAAATTACAAATACGCATCGTGCTTCAGCCAAATAGACAACGGTGTATACACCGGCTTGTAGACAAGCATGGTGCCAACGCCACAACAGTAGAAACAATAACAGGTGGATTGGCATGCAGAACAAAACGGAAAAATAGTTAAACACGGGAAAATGGTAGACAAATGGTATAACAAAATTGTTTTGCGTGTTTCACCGTACACTTCGAAATTTATTTGTGGTTTGTTACTTTACGGGGAACGGCATTTCGACAGGCAGACCATACAGCAGTCGCGCCACTGACTTCTATTCTGGGCCATATTTCTCAGCGTCTCCAACCAACGACAATGCAGTACATTTCTCCTTAGTAAGAAAAGCCGAGAACCTACGGAGAATGAATATCGTTTACGAGCCCCTTTTCGATTGCGCCAGTTGACACAGAGAACGCTCTACACCTGTTCATTAGGTGGGTTATGACGATCGCATTATTATTTGGTCTCGATGACTTTACGGTTCACTCTAACCGCAAACTGTTCCAGATACACTCGCATATCAAACCACTAGGGAAGATGTTATTTCACATTTCAGCAAGAAGTGAAAACCACAGTAAAAACACGCATACAGGATGGTCTCCACCAGTTTGACAACGCATGAACCGTGAATGTCAGATCACAGGTAACTCGTGTTCGGATGGGAATCAAAGCAGAAAAATTATCAATTTTAGTGCCATTCGTGTTACTTGGATTACGCGAGAACCAGTGAGTCACGTGAGCTACCGGCCCCATCTAGCATTCGATGATCATGCGGCATGTTCCGAAGTCGTGGATGGATTAATTCGGGTCACATGGACCAACAAGGACAACAATAATTAATGGATAGATAGATAACTGAGGTCATATTACGGATGGTGAGAACAAGTCACGCGGATGTTCAGTGCTGACGAACAAATCGTAGGCGGGGTAATCTTTTGTGCAGCTGCAGACGGTGATCTGGTCAGTCTGCCTTGCAACACCACTGAATGACACGAATTAAAAGGTGACGGAATCGAAGAAATAGAACGAAAACGCAAAGATATGCTTCCATGGTTATTTAACAGAAGCACACTGCCAAACTAGGGAATCGATCATTGAAAGAACGATAGCAGTAGAGGGCAAACAAGGCTGGACAGTGCTAGCGTCTTAGCTGAAACGGAGAAGTCATGTTTTTCACGAGAGACGGACTGGCGGTTAAAAATTGCAACATTCTGTCTGCATATTTAGACGATACACTAAAGGGTTCATTATTCTGCTCCGGGATGTCGTGAGAAACCGCAAAATGCTTCGCGGGTGCGCAACAAAATACTACTGTCATGAAAGCAATAGATGGTGACAGTCGGGCGCACACGAGATTGCTTGGCATTCACCGGCTGTAACGTTCAGGACATGCGGTGCATACGTAACGGCTTAGGCTTCCTGGCTGAGGCAGGCGGTGATCGAATGAAGCTCAAGAGAGATCGGGTTCTCAGGGGGAAGTTTAATTCAGTTCAGTATTCACAAGTATTATGATCAAGGTATGGAAAACAATGGCACAGCAAGCTAGACAATGTTACGGTTCCCGGGCTGGGTACCTCAGAATTGATTAAATCGACGCTTCGAAATATCAAACTGAGTACCATGAACAGTAGCATTCATGCATTTGTTTACATTAGTTACATACCTAGTTCTTCTATTGTCGATCAACCGCAGTTGGCAGTACGTTCTTAGCTTGGAAGTCATGCTTTTTGTCTTTGAAGATGGTTCAAATAAATTGTGAAAAGACAACAAAATTGGAACGCGAAGTCGTAGGTAGGTCGATGGAGAATTCTAGTACAATTGAATTTGACGTTCATTCTGAATACTGATTAACCCTGCGTGTTACCAATTGACGGATCATTGGTCAAGCAAAATAATCGATTGACCTTCTAAGGTGTGAACAGAATGAGTAGAGATATTGAGGTGTGTACCGGTTTATTTCCCCAACACTAATTACTGTTGGTTAAGGTCACCGGCATAGTTAGTTGCATCAGTTCACAACTCCGGACAGGGACAACTATTTCTAGGTATAATGTGTGTATGATGGGGTGAGAACAGTTTTGAGGTATTACAAGTAGATGTTTTTGAGGCAGGTCATACGTCTTTCGGGTCGAATAAGAAAAGTAGAGCGCTGTTTTGGCTGTACCTTCTACTCAGCCTATCAACCGAGGGAAGCATATCGACCGAAAGAGTGAAGTACATTCTAGGTAAAGGACAGACAGTGAGCGAGCAGAGGCAGTAGATACAACCGATGGACGATCACGCTAGTGATGGGAAAAAAACAAAATTTACTCAAAACCGCACTGACAGCTGAGTAAAGCGTTATGAATAAATTCAGTTGTGAAGATGCCATTAGCCTATTCGCATTCAGGTGGTGGAAGATATATCGTGACAAAGAATGTCATAAATGAAAAGGTTGATAATCCAATAATCGGTAATAGTGGTACGTCGTATTTTTCCAACTGTTCATTATGGGACACAGAAAGCGAGGATGCTTCCGTGAATTCAACGAGTCTGATCGAGTGCGTATGTGACCGAATTAGTTCACGATACCTTATTTTGCTTTCATCTACGTCCAAGTGGTTGGAGATTTTGCGCAAGTGAGGCTAATACGTTCGTCGTATACGAAATCAGAGTCGAGTGAATCATTCAACAGAGATTTCCGGCTCAGAGTGATGAACTTTGATTTACCCAATAAAACACTTGATCTTCGAAGACTGGCAGTATGCGAACTGTTTTAGCTTAGTGATGAGAGAGCACTACAGGTACTAAACACGATTTTGTCCGTTAGAGGAGTTTCCCAAGTCATAAATGGATGGGTGCATACTGATGTATCACAATCAGCTATGATCATACACAGCAGATTTGTAGCCTAACTCATTTCCCCTTTTAAGCCGAGCTGTTCAAACTAAAAAAAACAGCACTTAAAGAGTCCGTTGGGGTTGTTACTAAACAGAAAAGAATGTAAAATCCTGGAAACAGGGTATAGTTTCCAAGGAAAAACTTAGTTATTAAGTCACACAAGTATCAAGGAAACGCGCTTTTATGGCCCGCGATTAAGACAGGTGCAATGTCAAGAATGAAATTAGCTCTGTGTATCCGGAAACCAATGATTTCGAAGCTAGACTCGTATGCTTGGGAATTTTGTCTGATTTCGATGTGAATACATGCAGAACGGGAAAAGAAATACACAAGCGAACACGTGAGTCATCCTATGGGAGGTGGGAGGCGCAGCTTTTTCATGGAAAGTGATTGTGCTAATTTACATTCAATAAAAAGAAAGTAGAAATGTACTATAATAAAAATTAAAAAAACACTTCACACTGCAGATATCCTCAAAGCAGATTCTAACCCCTGGACGAGAATACCAAACATTACTTCGCAGATATGGAGCTGACCTCGCAAACGGTGTGTGTATGTATGCATAATTTATTGACAATCAAGGAAACCAAACGTTCCCTACCGTACGAGATATAACTTTCAGCAAACAATTCGCAACCAAACAACTGTCTTCACTATAATATCATTACGATCCACAAAAATAAGGGAGTTGAGCGCTGTGAAATCGGGTATTGTGGTTCTGCTCAGTTCGGGAATGCTGGTATTATTGTGTACCGTTATCTTTCCCTGAAAGGGCCCTTGAAACTACAACCATGACAAGTCCGGTTAAGAAACACCGTAACCACTCAAAAGGGTGAATTTTCAGCAATTTAAGAACTTCTACATTGGATATGTGAAATAAACTGCGATTAAAAAATAACAAAATAACTTCGACGTTGTAGTGAGAGAAAAAATAAAGCGAGTTTTGCCTTGAAGTGGGTGACAATTGCCGAACGATCAAACAAGAACCGAGTACGCGAAGGAAATACACTGTTCCTGTATGTGGAAGTTTATATTTGGAGCACTTTGATCCACAGGCCAGGGGACGATCAATTCTGGATCCGTCTGAGCAGTGGAGTCGTTTTATTCCTCCTAACCTTTGTTGCAGTGTCCAATATGCTTTCGGAACATCCGCGCCTATCACTTTTAAATCGCCTTATTGATGCCTGTTGATACACCATACGTGAGGCTATAAAAGAACGTCGGAATCCAATGAATATTTTAATAATTTAATAGGGAGTCATTTCAAAAAGAAAGCTCATTCTACTTGCACAGTTTTATTTTTCGATAAGGATATTAGATTCAGTTGGATAATTATGGAATTCCAGTTTGTCGTTCCGTTTCCGGTCGAAATTAAGAGGGTTACAGTAGATGTTGTCAGACCTACTGGTTTCATTAGATTATCCCAGATAACGGTGCAATCAAAGTCAACAACCAAAGGAACTTATATTTCCAAAGTGCCTCTTAGTTCTGCGGGATGCATAAAACTGATGCAGCACTCGGATGTGATTTGATAAAAATATAATGGTTCAGAAGAGGACAAACAGAAAGATGATGGGGTGTCGCTACGGTAGAAATTCATCTGAGGCATTAAGATGAGTTGCAGGTAGGCATATTTTGAACAAAAAAGAAAGATGCCAGACACGACTTTGTTGTCATATAATGCAATTGGCATGTGATCATTCGGGCCTTTACAAAAACTTAGGAAACCCCATCTAACAGTGATCTTGGTTGTAAATAGAATGTGAAATGAAGTGTGCAAAGAGTAAGAAATTGGTTAATCGGAGAACACTGC